GATGTACAGGGGGCAAGTGTCAAGAAGGATTTTTTATTGACTATAAGGAGTAGGTTCTGTTTGCTTAGTTGCAATCAGCTGAGCCAGTCTTATCCTTCCTGCTATCATTTCAGGTCAATAAATATTTGTTGTCTGAATGTGAACTGTTTACTGGGAAACAATATGGCTAGTAAATGTGTGTTCCAGATATAGCCTAGTTAACAATTTAGTGTAAGAGAAAAGAGGATTCATGAAGTGGATTTGGATTCCATTCCTTAACATGGATAAGAATCTAATGACTATCAAATTACTTATGTAAAAACCAATTTTATAGTTTCAAACCAGACATAACAGAGACCTTGGATATCTAGTCAAATTAGAGAGCTACTGGAGAGATAGGCAGTAAGCTAATAAACAGGTAAACATCTGACATAATGGCAGATACTGGTAAGCATTCTGCAGAAAGGAAAATGGGGCACCAGGATGAAGAGTTGTCGGGTAGAGCAGGGCAGGGGTTGTTTAGATACAGAGGTCTGAGAAACCCTCTCCTAGCAAATGACATTGGAGAAGATCCTGAACATAGGAGGGGGAAGAACCTTACAGGCACAGGGGACAGAAAAGGGGGGAATTTGCTTAGGGCTTTTGGAAAATCGTTGTGAAAAAGGGTGTGAGAGCAGGAGCAGGAGATTAAGCCACAGAGGCTGGGGAGGTGGCAGTTCGGGACATCCATAGTACACAAGGACACACAAATCCCGATCTCCTGAGCATGGGTAGCTCCTTACATGGCTTTTGTTACTCCTTACGGATTTCTCCCTTCCTTTTTATTTCCTTTGCCTTTGCTGTCCTATTTCTAGAAAGAATGTGCTTGCTTTGTTAACCAAAGGACAGGGCCTGAGTTCTATCCCAGATTTCCTCTGAAGAAGGGTGAGATAGACTGGGTAGAGTCTCTGGGTCCAGCCAAATGAGTCCATTGTGATATCTCACGTGGTTTGGGAAAAAAATCGTTGTTTCAAAAATAATACATTATGTATGACCTTATATATTTTATAATTAGAATATGGGCCTAATGTTTGAAGTTTAAATAGTAGGAAACGGATTTCTTCTGGAAGTTCAACAATTTTTAACTGGCAGCATAATCTACAGTATAGCAGCTACCTCTTTCCTATAAACACTCGGGTTGGAATGTTTTGCATTCCCATGAAATAATTTTCCTGAGCGTGTCTTTTTGGAGGAAGTATAAATTATCTCAAGTTATTATGGTAATTAGAAAACGGTAAAAAACCAGCCTGAGCTTGTATATATACTGGCCTTGTATTAAAAGGAATGTGGGTACAAGTATGGATATCACAGAGAATGTAGAAATTGTCCGCTTTGTCCCCAAATGGAATTTTATTTATAGTCTAGCTCAGTGTTTAATGTGTATTTGCCCTCTTTTTAGTATTTAATCAGTTTGTTTTTATCCACTGAATCCAGATAACTTGACTTTCTACCAATAAAATATTTACTTGTCATATTAGGCAGGGCGCTAAACTTGGAAATAAAGAGTACTGAGTTAAATTTAAAATTTGTTGAACAGTATTCCTCATGATGTATTCTATTTAATGTTTTGGCAGTGCCTCTGGCTCTTCTCATTTAACATGCTAGGAGACAGACTGGCAGCAGTTGTAAGCTGAAACCTGGTTGTATGCAGAATGAGACTGATAGGGGTATGAAATAAAATGGAGAAAATTTGAAAGTGTTACTGTGTGTGTTTCCTTAATTTAAAGTGTGACACATTTGCTTAAAATAGAATTTTATGTTCTGTTTGTCAAGGCTATTATAACTTCATGTTAGATGATTTTAAGACTAAACTGGTTTTTAAATATTGTTTTGTAGAATAACCAAATTTGTTTCTTAACAATGTTGTCATTATGTCACACAAGTTGTTTTGATATAATAAGCGTGTTTTACAATATGTTTGAGTCACTTTCCCCAGCAGACCTGAAATTAATTACTCAGAGGAAAAGCATGCATTTACAATATATTCTTAGCTGCTCCTTTCTCTCACTCAGCTGTCAATTCCTATGGAATCTAAAATAGGACTCGACCAATGGGAGACACGCTACGCACTGTTTACTGGACAGTTCAAAAGTGGACAGTTTTATCATGCACTGCAGTGTCTGGGTTGCAGTGTTTAGGCAGCAGGATGCAGAGTGCTGTTCAAGTTTTCCGGTGGGGTCCCTGAAGGGGACAACTTTGAAAGACAGCTTCTAAAGAAAAAGAAATAGAAGGAATTACAGTACCTGACTTAGGGCTGCTCTGAATCAAGTGCTGCGCCGCAAGGAAGATCATTTTTGAGCGTTATGAAGGCGGAGAAGGATCCCGAAGACGAAGAAAATACCATTAGAGATCCAAGCTAAGTGTAGCACAGCATGTGAGGGACTGAGTCACTTGTTAGGAGTTTGTCTGAGGGCTTGCTTTGTGAACTGCAG